TTTTCTAGTTTAAGAAAAAAATTTTTTTTTATTTTATAAGATTTGTGATTTATAATAATAATTATTATTTATTCAACTTTAACTGACGCCATATTTTTTCTTCTCAATACTATACTCTCTTAAAATAAATTAGTGAAATTTTAGTGATTCTTTTTAAGAGAGTAGGATATTTTTTAGTAAAAATTTTGGTTTAGAAAGAAAACTTACTTGTATTGTTGGAATCACAATAACAATCAGACAAATTAGTAATAAATTCATATTAGCAACGTTATTGAGACCTTAGTCAATAGAAACTATTGTTTTTTTTTGTAACGACCGATGAAAAATAAAAATTTATGATATCTATTAATTTAATGTTCTGGTACTGACGTTTTTTTGTTTTTTTCGTTAGATATCAATTTAATTGAGAATGACAAAGAAAAAAAAAACCCATTTTGATAATTTAGTAATTATCGTTAATTACTAAGTCGTCAGAGACGTTTTACAAGTTTACTTCAGTATTTTTCTGTTGAAAATAAAAATGAACGTAAAAAAACTTGTTTTAGTAGTTAATTAAACGCTGATTTGCCGAAAATAAAAAAAAAAAAACTTATAATTTAGGATACATCAGAATTTTAGCTGGAAATTTTTTTGAAATAGTATATTTATCGAAAAATTATAAGAGATTTTTCGCTCATGACTATGTTGTTTATGCGACTGTTAAATAAACTAAAATAAAAAAAAACGAGACTTTTTTTTTTAAACGTACAATTTTTTAATGTACTACATGTTATGTTGCGTTAGCTGATAAGTTGCTTGTAAAATAAGAAATAAAATTTCAAAAGTTTAAAAATATTTTTTTTTTCGTGTTATTTAAAAATAAAATGGAAATTTTCAATTTATGAACTATTCAAGTTATTTAACGCTGATTTGGCTCTAAGTGACCCTCGTGGCACCGGAGTATGGAGCGTGTAAAGTAATTGTAGAAAAGGGCGTTCCTCCAAGAATGGGGGAAACGCCCAGAAGCCTTAAAGGGTTAAATATAAATATTAAAAGCTCAAATTTAAACAAGATTTATCTTTTGACACATTCTTCGGTAAAATTTTAAGATAATGTGAAGAAAAAATTTTTCTCTTACAGACCGTAAAAATAAATTAAAAATTTTTTAACATCCCAAATTTATAACTAATACTTCAGACAATTTATATCAACTTTAAGTTAGTAAATATTTATTGTATTTTCTAAAAATTTTGAATTTTTTGATATATTGAACCGAATTTACACAAAAATTATTTTGTTTTTAAGTTTTATTGATCAATTATAATGAATAAAATCAAAAATAATAAATGATTAACTTTACTACGTTTAATTGAATAAAATTAATTACTTTAATGTTACTAAAATCAAGTGACAAATGACAATTTTTAGGATTTATAAATAAATACATTTATTGCAAATAAAATTTATTAAAAAATTAATCCATACAAAAATTGCAAAAATTACAATTAATTTTTAAAAATTTATCTTCAATTTATTTATTTTCAAAATACAATATGTCTTTTTATAAAATTCGATCAGAAATCGTCATCTCTGCGCAGCTGCATTTCCTGCTGTTCCAGCGATCTCAATTTCTGCAAATATTGCTGCTATTGCGAATTCAAAGATGTTGAATATTTTTCAGATATTTCGTCGTCAAATATGGCATCAAGAAACAATCCTTTTTTCTGCTGATCAATTTGATTTTTTACCAAGGATAATTTTTTTGAGTCCTTGGATGATTGATCGAATTGACCGGCTTGATGGGCTGTATTAGCATCAGCTCGATCGGCTGTATCAGTTCGATCGACTTGATCATAGTCATAGCTATCAACATTTCTCGGACGTTCGGTAACAGGATCACGAGACTTAAAAAACTCGACAGTATATTTGGGAAGAGGCTTCAGAGATTTTTTAGGAGAAACAGTTTCTTTTATTCCTTCTATATAATTACGAACAAGGAGGTGGTTAATATCGTCAAGTTCTTTTGAGTATGAATTGAAATTATTTTTAACAGCAGGAGGGCTCAAAGTAGCCTCCTCTTATGGCTCAAAATGAACTTGATAATTATTTTTGATGATGAATTTTTTCGGGTTCTCAGAAGTGTCGCGATGTTCCATTGCTTTCCTCTGTTCATCAGCGAAAGTTGTCTTTTTGATGATAAGGGATTTATTTTGATGAGTTGCATTGAAGGGCGACAATTTTACGCTTCTTGTTGATGGTACTTCATCATAAACAATATTTTTTGGATCGTAAGTATATTTCTTGTAAAGTTCCCATAACACGGAATATTAACGACTTTACTTTGTCGTTCATAACATTGCTATTAGCCACACTGTCGTTTAGTCTCTTCAAATTCGAAAGGGTTCTATCAATGTTGCTGACAACTGGATTTTCATCAGTGCTCGGTGGCATTGTAACGATTGATGAGGAAAAGACCTATTCAATAAATTATTTACTAATTAGCTTGTTTTAATGATTTTTATGTGTACAGTAAAAAATTTTTCGTCATTGTGTAAAGTGTAAAAATTTTTGTGTAGAATATTACACTCTAGTGTGTAAAATTTCACGCTCTCAGGTATTGATTTAACACACTAGAATGTGGATTTAAGGAGGTACTGTGAAAAATCACTTTTCTTACAATAACAATCATACTTTTCTTAGGACTTTTTTGAAAAACTGATAATATTTAATTGAAGTTATAACAAGTATTTTTTATCAAAAATAACACAAACGAGCGGTATTCATTTTTTTATAAGAAATGTTTGAAGTTAGTGACTTTGGATATTTTACGTGAGTGGAAGTAAGTGAGCGATAGTCTGTAAAGAGAGGTAGCACTATTGCGTGAGAAAAAAACCAATAGCCGTAACCTATTGGTGTCTTTTTCTTGCCGCAATACCTCCTTAACATTAGTTTGTGTGAAAAAAGTCAGTAATACAAATATTTGTGTTAAATTTGATGAAAATTTTTTTACTGTGTAATAATATGTTTTCCAGTAAAAAATTTTTCTCTTATATAATTTTTATAGAACTTGATATGTCAATATTTGGCTTGAAATGATCATAAATGCCATATATGATTTTTTAATAAATTTAGTATTTAAAATTTCCGACAGGTGGCGCATGATTGCTGAATCTTCTCCTTATAAGAGAGTTAATTTTTAAATTTAAGGTTTTTTTTTTAGATATTCTTCAAAATTGTAATAATATATAAGTAAATAGATTATATATTACGTCTATTCACTTGTCTATATTTATAAATAATGTAAAAACGTCAAAATTACAAATGAAGAGATTTAAAAGTTAAAAAAAAAATTTTTTTTTCAATTTTTTTAAACAAATTATTTTCTATTTGTTTTTAATTTAATTAATTACTAAATCAATTTATGCTCATTACGAAATATTAATTGACGTCTACATTTTTTTAAAAAATAGTAGATTGAAAAATTGTAATTTTTTTTACATATATAGCCTATTAAAAAAATTTGACCATATCAGAAAATTTTTATATTTTTTTTTCAATAAATAAATGTACTTATGCAACATAGACTGACTATCTAATCAGCAAATTATATAATTTAATAATCAAAAAAACAAAGGAAAAAAATCTTCATTGCGCTTGTTAACTCCGTGAATGCTACTCGGTGTTTACAATTTATAGATTTAATATTTCTCAACGACTCAATTTATCTCCAGTTTACGGAAGTGTGAGCGAAGGTGGGGAAATTGTGAGTGAGGATGGTCGTAGGGTCGCGGGGAGAAGTTACATAAATAATCACGTGATTTATAATCTGAATTTTTTCATACAAGAAATATAATTTAAATTTTATTGCAAAATTTTTATGTTAGAAAAATTGTAAGTGATAGCAAAAGTTTCCTTATATTTTGCACAGAAAATTATTTAACAGATTGATGCGTTGATTTATGATCTCAACTGTTCATCTTATTTCTAAGAATAAGAAGAATATATTCTACGCCTTATTCAATATTTTTATTTAAAATATGAATAATTATCTATTTCAAAATTTTTACAAAAAATTTTTTTACTAAAAATTTAGTTAAAAATAATTTTTTTATGGCCTTCAAATAAAAATTTATTTTAGCGCTGATATGTCTCTAATAAAAAATAATAATTTTTTTTTAAGCAATTATGTGTCATTAAGTGTTTTTAAAAATTTAGTACCCAGCACATCATTAAAATTTTTTGTTAAAAAACAAAGTTGTTAAAATCCAAACTCGCGTTACTATTATTATGGTTCGTTAATGATAACATTGTTGTTTCAAACTAATAATGTTTTTCATTGTTTGCGATATAAAGATAGTAAAACAGATATAGTTTGATTAATGTTATCAATTATATATATATATCATTTTATAAAATAACTTGAAAAATATTGATTAAGCGGTAAGTAAAATTAATTTTAAAAATTAATTTGTATAATGCTCAATATCTTTTAAATGAAGAAGCGTAAAATTGTCGCCCGTCAATGCAACTCATCAAAATAAATCCCTTATCAAAAAGACAACTTTCGCTTTTGATGAAGAGAGGAAAGCAATGGAACATCGCGATACTTCTAAGAACCCGAAAAATTCCATCATCAAAAATAATTATCAAGTTCATTTTGAGCCATAAGAGGAGGCTACTTTGAGCCCTCCTGCTGTTAAAAATAATTTCAATTCATACTCAAAAGAACTTCACGATATTAACCACCATGTTCGTAATTATATAGAGGGAATAAAAGATACTATTCTTTTCTGGGTTTTGTACAGTACCTCCTAAAAAAAATGAATTAATGATAATTGTGTTTCATATTTATTTTTAATTAAACCATTAAGTATAAACCATTAAGCTGTACTTCTCTGAAAATGAGAGACCACTTAGAATATAAATTTTAGTAATAAATAATTAAAAAAATACTCATTCATTAAAATCAAGCGTGAAATTTATTGTCAATAAAGCTTAAGGAACATATATCGATAACAAACTTATACATCAGGTAAACGGAGTTTACTTTCGCCTTCACCAAGCAAATTTATCTTGTTACCATTAAGATCAGTAAGCACGTCGGGTCCATTATTTGTCGGTTTTTGAGAGACACCGTTGTTTCCTCCTCCTAAAGCGACCTCTGCTCTTCCGTTCAACTCCGCCAATTTACGTTCCAATTTTTGAGTAATAGTCGCAGTTTTTGTGTTGTAGTCCTCGACAGCGTTGTCAGTAGCAAGCATCAAGTTAGAGACGAAAGAAGCATATTTAGCTTGAAGTGCTTGGTCGACTGCTCTGAGCGTCGCGTTGCCTAAATCATATTGATTTTGCTCCACATACGAGCTAGTATTTCCCAGGAAGTTAATAACATATTCCTTAAATTCCCTTAATATTCCCACTAAGTAACTATCGACAGATTGATACAGTTCGTCTCGGGAAGCGTTAAATCTTTTTTGTAAGCTGTCTAAAATTTGAGATGGGTTGGGTTTTTCTTGGGTTGGATTTTCAGCAGGGTTGAAATTGTCCAGTGGTTTCAATCCATTCGACGTTAAGTATCTTTTAAATTCCGGGGAGTCGAAAAGACTTGCAGCTGGTCCATTGTATCTTGATTTAGGAGATACGGGCTACAATAAAAATTATAATTATAGAAAAATCTACATCATAATAAAAAATAATTGATTTATAATAAATAATAAACCCCCAAGAAGTAAAGTATATGAGATATACAAGTGGGAAAATCTGCACACGTGTCGTGTACGCTTCATATATTTTTAGTACCAAGTGCTTCCGATAGGTGGCGAAAATTTCTCGCTACCAAAGAGTTCGCTCAGACTTTATAGATATAAAGGAAAATTCTATTTCAAAGAATGAATTTATTATTTTTATTGTTTATTTATGATATTTATTATTCAAATGTTTCAATTGTAATTTTATGTATACATTCTATAGAAAAAAATTATCCAAATGTCCAAAAAGCTTAATTATAATTATTAATAATTTCAACGTCAATGTTTATCATTTTTTAGGTAAAAAAATAGCATATGATAGATAAAAAATATCAAGAAAAATTATTAAACTTTTAATTCTATGCTATCAATTGACCGTTTGAATCTTGGTAAGCGCGATAACTATCCATTAAAATTATTAATCGAGCTGATTATTATTCTAACAGGTTAATAATTGCCCGAGGAAGAACCCTTGAAAAAATGACAGTTTAAATCCGTCGCGTTTAATTGTAATTAATAAAACTTCAACCCGAAAATTCGACATCGAATAACATAAATATAAAAAAGTGCCGCTAATGTCCGAAGTTTGTGCGACATAAATTTTCTCTAGCCACGTCCATCTAACGGAGAGTAACTAAAATAATAATAACAACCAAAAAATAGTGGAACAGCAGCGACATCTAAGGTATTCGACTCTCCTTGTCGACCTAACCAATTACTAGCGTTGGCGTCAGAAGCGCGAAATTCAATTTTTTTCGCTCGCTCCTTTTTTAATTCCATTTCTTTCGGAAGTTTAATATTACAATAAAATTTGTAAGTTTTTTACTGGCGATAGCTTGTTTAAAATAAACGAATATTAATAATAAAAAAAATGAAGGTGTGAATTCCTACCTGAGAAGAGGTACTAGCAATAATTGCTAGACAAATAATAGCAATAGCGATCATTGCAACTGATAACTTTCCACTTGGATACGATGCGTTAAGTATAATTGACAATTATCAATTGACTGGATAGCTTGAAGCAACCTAAGCTTATATATAACACTTTTACGTCATAGACCCCAAAAAATAAAATAATTTGTGTGGCCAACACTTGTGTAACGTTTATTTAAGTATTATTATTAAAGTCTCATGGATTATAATAGGCATATTATTTATTGATAATTACATATTCATTAAATATATAATGTTATCAGTCGATGGAGAGTTATCAATATTTTCGGAGATATAAATTATAATATTTGTCGTCTTATTCTTTATAGACGACCTTCTATTATTTTTTTTCGATCTATTTCTGATGACTTATTCTAATTTCTTATCGTCGTTGCAACCAGTCGTTAATTGTACTTACTAATCATCCAAGCGATTGGTTCATTCTCGCTTTTTTATGATAAGCACGTATACTTACTTATATGGCTTCCGGCTAATTCGGCGTTTATTAAGTTATCTATTTAGGTGGACAAATTCTAACATTCTTGCTTCAATTTCGGTATTCTTTTTTTATACTTTTATTACAGTTTACTTAGAACTCTATTTTTATAAAAAATTAATTAAAAAAATATCTTTACGCTCTTTTGATTTAAAAAGAATTTTTTTAAAAAAATGGAAGTAAATTTCTCGAATAAAAAAACATATTTTTTATATAATGATATTAATAATAACAAATAACTTCTATTACAATAAAACGATATCAAAACGAATGTAAAAGTAAACTTTCATTAAATCTGTTTGAGAAAGTAGGTAATTTTTGGACTAAATTGATAGTGAGGTATGCAAATTAAAAATTATTAAATAAGCTTTCAGATGCAATTTACAGAAATTAAATATGATATCGCATTTAATTGTTATTGCACGGAAATACGGTAAAAGTGAAAATTTTTGCGATTTTTGAAAATTTTTAAATTGCTCTCATTTCTAAACTACTCGACAGATTTGCCTCATCTCAGAACTTAACCTCAGAAATCATCCTAAGAGTGAATATGTTACGTTTTATTGAGATCCGTAAAGAATTGCGGGAGTTAGAGAAGAGACAATACCGAGTCGAAATATAGCAAAATTTTTCAAAAGTTCCGTCAATAGTTAGATTTCTATGAAATCTACTAATTACGTACTGAATATAAAATTAAATTACTAGATTTTTTAAAATCGAATTGTTGAGCTGCTTGGTCAATATTTGGTTCCTTTACTTTAATTAAAAAAAAAAAAAAAAAAATAGGAATAATTTTAGGGTTTGATAAAAAAAATTAGGAATATTATTGATTAGCAATCGCGTAATATAAAAATATCTTATTTTAATAATAAGAGTAACTGGGAATAAAATCATTAAATCTGTGAGTAAAAAGAAAAAAGGTATGAAATACTATAGAAATAAACCGTGACTTATTTTCCGTTTTTTAAGCAGCACATCATAAAGGAATTTTATGGATAAAATCAAAAAAACAGATCATTTGAATCACTTTATTGTCACACGCCATGTCGGCTTTGGGGGTGTCCTTTATCTGGTGTATTTAATAGTTGGATACAGTCACTAACGCATTATAATAATTATCATTATTTTTATTATTAATATTATTATTATTATTTTTTTATGTTATTATTATTGTTATCAATATTATTATTTTACACAGAGTCATCATAAAGCTATGTACTCGCTTAAAATATACATCAATATATCAATATATATTTCAATAATTATATTATATATAAATCAACACATATGTTCAACAACAGTAAATTTATGATTCTCAGTTGGTCGGATCACTCATACAATCTCATATGTACAGTCTCGACAAACTTTGTCGTTCTTGTTCCCAGTATGTATTTAAATAATTTTTTTTGTTAATTACACCCACATGTTATTGATATTTAACGACTCTATGTTTTTTAAATCCATTTATCATAAATCATAAGCAAATAAACTACACAAAACTCATATCATCAAAATTGTAATATAACATTATTGTTATTATCTTTATCATTATCATCATCATCATCATCATCATCATCAGTTTTATTATTATTATTTATCAATACATAGTTTTACGATGACTCTTTATTAATACAATTTTTTTTTCTAATCGTACAGCTGAAATTTTTTTTGTTATTTTTAGTGATTTATGGTTTAACATTATTCAATTTTTTTTCTGGTTTTTTTTTTTTTATTTTTTATTAACACAACATTGTCACATTCACGCATATTTAATATTACCATGATTATTTTTATTATTAATCATAATCATGTATCTATATCACCATTGACAAATTAGAAATGTACGAAGCTTTTTTTTATTTAATAATTATTATTATTATTATTTATTTTTTTTTTCGATTATCACGTGTAACTTTTCTATACTGTTTTTGGAATGATTTCAATAACAATAATTATCAGTTTCTTAACGATTCATTCCATGGTTGTTTTAGTTTTTTATTTTTACACTTTTTTATTCGAAGACTCGGCGGTATTTTACAATCACACTATTTTTAACCACGTGATTTAGATTAAATACTGGATCGATTGCATGGTAAATAATTCATCGTTGGCATCAATGTAATTGTTTTTTTTTTTTGTTTTTCTGTTACATTTGTTGTTTTTTAAATAATTTAAAAGGTCTCAAGATTCTAGTGGAAAGAACATATTTTATATTTCTATTTTGATGAAAAAACAAAGAATGATTTTTAAAAAATATTGTAATTGTTGATTTATTTATAGAATACATTGCAGTTGCTGCGACAGATTAAATGATTTTTTTTTCAATTTTCATTGAATCTACTAGTGTTAATTATTTATAAAAAAAACTTCGAGAAAATGTGACAAATGTAAACAATCATAACATACGTCACATATGTCGCACATCGAAGGTCTAATTAGCAATTAGTTGAACTCCTTATTTTTTAGAGGGTGATTTTCTAACATTTTGATGTAGCAATAGTCTAATTATAAATTATTTGAATAATCCAAGGCAAAATATCATACCTTTATTAAATATTAAATTATTTTTTAAAGTGATAATAAATTTTGAACTAATTGTTTTTTCGTACAAATAGAAGATTCTCTGAAATGGAGTTAGACAATTTGCTAATTAGAACGTCGATATGCGATGTTTCCAAATGGGAAGAATATAAGAAATTATATATAAGGCATATAATATCACACAGAAAAAAGGTTCACTTGAGTCAAAAAAATATTTATCTTCATAATTATTTTCTTGAGCGAAAAAAAAATTTTTTTTTGACAAGAAATTTCATTTATTCCCACAAAATTAATTCTCTTGCTTTAAGAAATACGTATCTTGATCCAAGAAAATTTATTTAAGTCAAGAAAATCTTGTTTTGAGAAAATTCAGCCTCGAAGCTCCAAAAAATTTAGTTCTTGATAGAAGTAAATTTTCTTGTCTTGAGAAAATTTCTCTCTTGCTTTAAAAAATTAAATATAAAGATAGAAGTAAATTTTCATTAAAGCAAATTTCCAGTAATTTAAAATTATTATTAAATATAAAATTGGATCCACACGGATCGGTCTTATGGAGATTCGTGACAAATCCATAGTGACAAACGCATAATTTCATACTGAAGTCATAATAGTAACTGCGTAAACTTATGATGGAATCAGGCTGATATTTTTTTAAATTCATCATAATATTGTAATGATATTGTTGCCTTCTATTCATAATTCAAGAAAAAAACTTTTTTGTAACTGTTGGAAATTCATTAGGACAGTATCTCCATGATGATATTGACATAATTTCATTATCAAATCATAATGATATTAAAATGAATTAATAATTAAATGATGGTCATATCTTTATAAAATCATAATGATATTGTTAGTCTTTTTAAATCGTGATATAAAATTATTGAGTCATAACTGTATACAGGAAATATTGCAAAATAATTAAATTAAAGAAATTTTTAGGAGGATTTAAATTGTTTTCAAAATAAAAAAATAATTATCTTGAGACGAAAAAATCTTTTCAGTCAAAAATTTTTTTTAAACCAAGATAGTGTTTTTCTAAATATTCTTCTAAGTTAAGAAAGACAAGGAAAAAATTTAAGTAGTTCAACAATATAGTGCATGATAAAAATACTGTTTTTCTCAATTATTATACATTTCCTCTGATTAACAGAAAAAATGAAATTTTTACTGATCTACTGAAAAAAAATGTGTTCCCACAGGTATTTTACTTATTACGGGTTTCTAAAGTATTGATATGGCTCTTATATGAATCTCATATTAGTGCCAAAATATGATATTTATTATGAGCCTCATAATGATATCATATCATTTTTACATTTACTTAAGTATCTAAAAATCTTGATCAAATATAAAAATTTCGTATCAAGTATTTAAGATGTGAATTAAGAAAAAATGACTTCCACCAAGAATAGAATTTCAAGAAAAATTTTTACTTCGACCAACACAACTTCGGTCTTCCTTCAGGCACCTGAAAATTTTCTTAAACCAAGAATTTTGTTCTCCAGTAAAGAAATTTTTCTTTCTGTGTAAATAAAATCACATACACTCAAAGTATCGTAAAAAAATCGAGTTATAGGTATATTAAAAGAAAATTTTTATCATTCAAACGATTTTACTTTGGTCAATTTATCGAACTATCTGATTCATACAAAACCCTATAACCTGTCGCAGTCATTAAAATGTATTTGATAAAAAAATTACAATATTTTCCATCCAATTTAAGCTGCATTGGTATTCTCATTTATATACAACATCCAATTTATCATATTCTAGCAGTCCAGAATTACTAATATGATTATGATTATTATTATAATTATTTTTCTCTAACTATAAAGTACAAAGTCAGAAATTACTTTACTTGATTGATAAATTGATTAAATTAAGTTGTAATTTTCAAAATAATCATACATTAATTTAATGTAGTTTCTTTTAATACATTATTTCTTAATAAAAGTTTAATGTATCCATGATT